ACCACTTGTGTCTGACTTTAAACCTCTCACTGCCGTCTTTAACAACACTTGTAGAGGATCAATTAGAGGTCAGTGAACTGTAGAAAATAAAAGTGAATAATGAACAACTTCAAATCTACCACCGTGGTTGTTGTTGTCCTGACACGTTGAGACCACTGGAGGTCACTATATCTCTTCATTTAGAACTGCCTGAACACATAAGTGAGTCCTCACTCTCTGTGGATCATATCTACCTCCACAAACACAGCTCAGACTGTCAAACAAATAAATGAGCAGATACATACAGTAAACAATCTGCTCCAACTCTCCAGAGTCACTTATTGATGCTCTCCGTGTGTGTGTGTGTGTCTGGCTGTAAATTTAATGACATGTGTTTCCCTGATGACCGTCTGAGTGCTTCTGTGTTTACCTTCCACAGCCAATCATTTTTCAATCACTAATCAATACACAGAGCAGCTGGGAGCTGTTCACTGCACATCTGGGTCCCAGCAGGAGATGATGGCGGCTGATGTGTTTATGTTATTTATGTGTGCACACATAAGAAATTCATTTTTAAGATGTGATATCTGTGTGTAGTTTCCAGGCGTGGATGTTCGCTTCATGTAGGCTCAGTTCAAGTTTATAACTGCAGTGAATTTAACTGCATGTTAGAGTCTTTTGTTATTGTAGAATTGCAGAATCAGATATTAAATATTAGATATATATTTTATTTAACATGAAGAATAATAATTAACTACTTTAGGAAACAATCATAGCAAAATATTAAGTTATTCCTTCTCAAAAGGTTATTAGTTTTGTAATTAATGTCATCTGAAAGAAAAACAGATCATTGTTCTTATTTTAGGAAAGTTAATTTGCAAATTGCGAAAACTAAAATGTATTTGCATCTGTGTCTGATTGGCCCCACCCCCTGATAGTGTGTAATACTTTAAATTAGGACCCATGAACTCAAAGAAGAACTCAATGAACAGTTAGTAAAATAATAAAACAGCATAGGGGGACCTGGGTGCTGACTGGCCTGGAGCAAAGTACACTGGTAATATTTTAAAATTAAAACAGAACAAACTGAGTGACAAAGTGATGAAACTGAGTGATAGAATAAAGCGCCTGTGACATGTGACAATAAGCCAGGAGGAAGAGGGTTAATGCTACACACAGAATAATTCACAGGAAGACAGAAACAAACATACAGCTAAAAACAAGGAGAGGTCAACATCAACATTTAACTGTATTTGGAGTCAATGTGTGTGTGTGTGTGTGTGTGTGTGTGTGTAATAAAAACAGTGGAGTGAAACCCATTAATATCCCTTAAAGGGGATTAATAAAGATTAATAAAGTAAGTCTTCTTCTGATGTGCATACAAACAACTAACACAAAATATAGGTGCATAAAGCAACACTGTCTATATACAATATGACTGTAAATTGTAAACAAAGACACAAAAGGAACAAATATTGAAGATATGTTACATTAACACACATCTCTTGGACTATATCTTACACAATGCATGCAGATATTCTTTATAACGGTCATATTGTACATATTGTCTCTTTATATTGTCTTTATTTCATCTTTATTTATGTTTTTCTCGCACTATGTTTATTGTTATGCAGTAATATTCTGTATGTGAAAACCTACTTGGCAATGAAACTGATTCTGACTGAATGTAATAGATTACTTTATATACATGAAGTGGGTACAGGTTAGAGCATAGAGTGTATTTGAAAGTGAGAATATATAATTTATCATTTATAGTGGGTGTTTTAGTGTTACAGTGTTGTTATTGACTTTGTTTTGGGGCACAGTGCTCGGACTGAATTCATCTCAGAGTCAGTTTTATATTGATCGTTATTATTGATGACTTTACCGATTTGTCTCTCTGAGCCTAAAATAAAAGCAAAAAACGTTCTTTATTCTGAACCTAAAATAATTGTTTTGTAAGATCAGATCTGCAAGAATTTGACTTGATGAGAATAAGAATCTACATATTTATACGCAGAAATAATAGTTACAATAGCTTGCTCAAAACAAACAATAACAAAAACAAAAACAATCAAATAAACAACTAGAATGAATTAATATTGTTATTTTGTGTCTGAGAATATAAATGCACATCTTCATCTGTGTGCCTTCAGACACTGACCGCTTTCTTTAATCTGCTCTCTGCTTCTGTTTCTTCTTCCTCTCCTCTCACTGACCTCCTCCTCCTCCTCCTCCTTCTCTCTCTCTCTCTCTCTCTCTCTCTCTCTGCATTCACTCGCTCTCTTTGTTATGGGGGTCCAGCATGGAGGATGTATATTTTATGTGCGGCTCTGGAGGCTTTTACCATTAATTATAGAGAAACACTAAGCTCTCCATTTGCCGGACAGATGTTATTTTTTACTTAAGGAGAGAAAGGGGACTGTTCCATAATTCAGAGGTAATCCCGCTCACCAGAGAACAAATAAATAAATGAATAAATAAATAAAGCAAAAGCAAAAACCACAAACATTTGGTACACTGCTCCTGCGTGCTCAGACATGTAACGCAGCGGCCGACACACACGCACAGATTTCCTCCGTGTTCGAGCCTTTAAGTGCCCCCCATGTAATAAATATGGAACAGCTGCTTTATCATTTCATTTTTTATTCAATCGGCTTCTCCCAAAGTATTTTACACAACCACACACACTCATAATGCAACCTTCTTTAGCCTCAAAACAATAGATGTGTAAAAAAGCTGAAATATTTAGTACAAATCTGGGTTTAGAAATAAAGGTTTTGACTGACGACAAAGCAGGAATGAACATATTTACCCTTTTAAAATCCTCACACACTCACATTGTGCAGCCTTGTAGAGCTGAAATGATTATTCAGATGATAGAAAACAAATTAAAAACAAGTTGGATGATTGATTAATTGTTCTAAAAGTCATTCATCAACAAAAAGTACTACATTCTCTTGTCAAATGTAAAGATTTGCTGCTTGTCTCTGTTTTATATGAGTGTAAACTGAATTCACTGAGCTCTGGGAACCTGCGATGGGTATTTTTCAGATTTGTAACTAATATTGAGGACACTGAGGTCTTGTCCTCTGTTGTTGCTGAGATTAGGGGAGGATTTAATGACAGGAAGTTTCCACATCGACATTTCAGGGCTGATTCTGATATTTTTTAGACTAAATATCCTAAAAATCTACATTGCTCTAAATACAAACTGAATATATTAAAATAAAATAAATTATCCTGTGTTCTCCACCATAACTACATACCTGGTAGAGAAGAGAAGGCTTTTAAACAACATTTAGATCATAATGTAGAGAGATATATGAGATATGTTTATTAAGATGTCAGTGAAATTATTTTTTAAATGCTGTAACAATTGTACAGAGTTTGGTTTGTGGCTAGTCATAAATTCATTGGGGGGGTTACATTGTACTCGGCAAAGTTGGAATATCTAAAATCAGGACTACAGCTCTGGTAGTTTTTATTACTGTTTGATGTTATATATTTATAAATTGAGCAATTATTCAGAAAAATGTAAATGATATATTATTTGATAAGTAAAAAGTCCCTTTGTTGCAGCCCAGTTCAAAGCTGTGTGCAAACTTTGTTCAAACTAACAACTTTATTTTAAATTCTTGCACATATTCTCTTATAAAGATACCAAATATCTCAGGCTCAGTTCTCAGGGAAATGTGTGTAAAAAACCTCCAGCTTTTGACTGTTTTGCTCAGAATAAGAAAACAACCAGACACATTTATTCTGTATGTGTGATGTTAGTTGAGAGAAATGTTTCTAAATATAAAGAAAACTGAAGGACGATCAATGAGTCCAGATCAAGAGTTTAGGAGGTGAAGCTGGAATTTAATAGTATGAATAGTAGCCAGCCCATAATCATGATA